GTCTTGTGCGTTTGCCGAATTTCCGTGGAGTATGTGGATAAGCAACGTACATTTCAGACTGGAAATGCACTTCATATTTTTAAAAACGAGACTTCTCATTTCAGACAACATTTTGCACTGAAAGTGTACTGGACATGTAACAGCTTTCAATATTTATTACTGTAAGATGCTGTAATAATGTAATTTAGATAAGTTAAATTGTTATCTTAATTTAAATACTGGTTGGAGGTTTGTGAACAGCATTCGCCACATGTCAGCATTACCAGATTAGGTAAAAAAATTGGGTTGAATATAAGAATGTAAGTATAGAAGTATACATTACCAGCATGTTCTGTATTATAAGTTTAGAATTGTTTCAGTGCAATCACTTAAAATTAAAATGTGAAAAAATAAGAAAAGACTACGAAATCTTCTGCAATTTTTAAAGTCTTTCTGATTTTTAAACATCCCTGAGCTGAATTCCTAATTTGCATAACTTAGAATTCCTAGGAATTCCCAGGAATTCCAAGCCCAGTTGGCCTGAGTATTCTATTCCCAGAAATTCTCAACAATTCTTAAGCTTCTAAAATCGTAAAACTTAGAATTCCTAGGAATTCCTAGGAATTCCAAGCCTAGAGTGAGACTTAATTTGCCATTCCCAAAAATTCTCAAGAATTCCAAGCTTATTTGATGAAGGCTGATTTGCATAGTTGGGAATTTTTGGGAATTCCTAGGAATTCTCAAGAATTCCTAGGAATTCCCAGAAAGCCGGGAATTCATTTCGCAAGGGTTTTTGTGTCAATCTTTTTCAGTTCTGAGATTTTCCAGTCAATGATGCCAAAGCTATATTGCACAACTGGGACTGCAAGACTACTTATAGCTTCTATTTTGTTTCTTCCATTGAGCTCAGTTCTTAGAACTAATATTACTCTCCTATTATATTCTTTTCTTATCTTCTCTTTCATTTTGCTATGCTGGATACCATCACTTTCATCTACACCCAGGTTTATTATAGGTTTATTATTATCATTATTATTATTATTATTATTATTATTATTATTATTATTAATATTATTATTATCATTATTATTATTGACATACAGTACATCAAGGCTGTCTGTGCTCACTCAGATTTCACATAGCATCAGACAGCCCTGCATATGGTTATAGCCAACTTAGAGTTTTGCAACTTGCTGGCTATCTCATATCCAACTATGTTTTGTACATCCCTTGTTCAATCTTAACAATATTGAATCCTTAAATGCAATACAGTGTACGTAACAGTAGCCAATTTCCTTGATAGACATGTACATGTACATGCATTGCAATAAAACACACAAATATACCTTCTAACCTGAAAACATTTTATATAGCATATAGTTCCTTCACAGACAATTCCCCACTTCAGATGGGCACAAGCTTTGAGCACAGCTTCAATTACGATTTGTTGATGGTAGATGTATTTAAGGCAAACATAAACCAGTCATACTGTAAACTTGTATAACACTTCCCTAAGGCAACCACAAGACTTGGTTTGGTTGCCCATGGATTAAATTATTTTGGTTTTTCAAGACAACCAATTAGCCTAGTTCAATCCAAGGAATTTTATCGACAATAAAATACACCTCACTTGTTTCATTTTGTTTAAATCCCATCCAACGTTAAAAAAAAACAACAACAACAATGGAAGCTGAGAGTGTCAAGTTTTTTGTTTTTTTTTGTTTTTTTAAATTAACATGGAATTTTTTGACAATTAACCCCCCACTTGATCAAAAGGAAAAATGATTCCTACCACCCCCAGACTTGATGAGGAATGTAAAATATGGGCAATATAATGAACTGGTACACAGAGATTAATGTTTATAATAGAAAACTAAAAACACAAGGTAACCAAAGGTTTACACATTTTTTTATTTCTGCTGGTGTAAAGAACGTTTTACAGAGATTCTTCAAGCTAGCTATGCCCCCGACTAAGAAATTGCATACCGGGGCCATGTGGCAGCTACATGCAGATATAATAATCAAATGCAATTATTCCTAGATAGGTTAAATTTGGGATCTAGATCTAAAGCAAAGATCTAAAGCTACAATGTGTATGTTGTAGTTAATTTTTATCTCAGGTAATATTTATTTTTCTTTTCTTTCATCTTCATTATCATATATTACCATACGCAAAAACAAAAGAAGAACAAAAATTACCTGAGATAAAAAATTAACTACAACATATAAATCTGGTGCGAAGCGACGCTGGATAGCCTGATCAGTGAAGCATCAAAAGAAAAGGGAATTGCAAGTCAGCCTAGCTCTCAAGAAATGTTCACATACTCTGCATTCAGGGAAATTCAAATCCCTCCAAAAGAGGAGAAAAAACATGTACCAGCTAGAACATTGTATCATCGAGAGAAGAAAAAAACGAATATAAAATTTGTTATGAATCGGGTCAATTTTACATTGGTTAAAGTTTATTTTCCTTTTACCAGGAAATGGTAAAGACTATGAAGAGTTTTCACAAAAGAAAAAATATACTGAGATAAGTACCACTTTGCCTACTCCACAGAAAGCTTCAAGTTCCATACTGAAAACTACAGAGTACAAGGTTTTTTAACTCAAACAATCATTGTATAATATTTTTTTTCAACCAGCTACTGATTGTGGCTTATTAGAAAGAACGCTTTCTACAGACATTGCATTCCTTGTTCGACATCCATAATTCACATGGCAAAAGAACAAGGAAATTTCTATCCTAAGAAATTCTACCCTTTATGGGAGTGGAATAGGTAGTGGATTTTTTCTCCAAAATGTTACTCTTTTTTATTGTTACTCTTTCTTGTTTTCCAAGCCCAGCCTACTGTGATCATCATGCAAAGGTGCATGACTTGTAAGATTATTCTGTTAAAAACTGCTGAATTATAGAGTGAGAATAAATAGCACAAAACATAACAAAAATTCTGCCCGAGGACTGAACGATTAACAGCTAGTAATGATTTTGTTTACCCCTGATGTGATTTAAAAAGTACATTGTATAAAAGGCTGCTTTATGTGCTACCAGGATTCAGATTTTTTTCGGCATGATTTTGTTACGTAAACTTATGACGAACAGACATTTTGGGAGCCAAAATATATCGAATTGCATACCTCCGAGTATCAGAAAAAAAAATATAGTTTAAAAAAGAAAATACATGACTGCTTACTTCAAATCCTTTCACAGACAAACAACTATTCTGATCTACATCAATCATATTAGGAAAAATGAAACATATTCAAAATTGTCTGTAATTCACCCACTTTTTATCTTTGTAATCATCTTAATAGTGTACTGTTCTTGCAGCTTCTGATTTATATTCTCTATTAAAGTTAATCCTAGCATTGTTGTTGTTGTTGTTGTTGTTGTTTTTTTACATAACTTTTCTTTACCTTTTGTACAACTTGTATAAGCTTATACAACTTTTGGAGTGCATATTTTGTTTTATATAGACGCTGTCCACCTAGACTAGCCTTTGCTATTTGTGGGTAGTAAGAAAATATAATATTGTAAATGTGGATAAACCAATAAAAATATTAACTTCAAAAGGAAGTTTGATGAATGTCAACACGCTTTCTTAGTTGCATAAAAAAAACTAAGAATTTGGGGAAGACTATACATTGTAGGTCCAGCGAAGCATGTCAGGTTGTTATGGGTTTGCCCCTGGCTTAACTAAATTTGTATACACCCAGTTCTGGGAAGCCTGTTGTGCAGACAACAGCAATAGATCATACTGCACACTGGGCTGTGACAGCTAAACTTCAGACTAAAATCATCATAGCAGGCAATGAATGAGTACATATAAATTTAAAGCTATCCACAATGGCCACCTTGAGGGCTCAAAATAGTGGTTAATTGATGAAGAGATGAGGTGGCTGTTAAAAATTTTAAAAAGGCTACAACAGTTGCTAGTTGATGATTTTCTTACCCAACCAGGAACAATCAAAGTGGCCGTACACTGTAAGTGGAGGTTCAAATGTAAGTCTGTTCATACACCTATAAGCTTACATGTAAGTTACTGTAGTTCTGCATGGAAATCTCGCCCCTGTTTCAAAGACATAATAAGCTAAACAATTTTCTGCTTTCAACACTCTTACACTCATCAGTAAACCCCGATCTAGTTTTATTTGTAACAGCATTGGGATACAGAACATGTTCAAAAGCTTCAAAACAAAAGCTTCTAAGTGACTTGTACCTTCGCTCATTATTATATTGTATGTTTGATTGCAGCTCGAAAAAAGTCTCCTTGTTAGTTTAAAGTAACGCTATTTAACCCGCCCTGAGTGGTCTTTTTTTTTCTATAAATTCTGGTTCTAAGACTATCTTGTGTTCGTACCGTGACCAAAATATCACATAAAAAATGCAGGTTACAATATTGGTTGATAGTAACGAGTCCTTTCAGTTATTCGAACCACTGTATGCACTCACCTGCTTGATGGCAGAATAGGAAAAAAGATATAAAATACACAACCAGCAACATGGTTGCTCTCTTGAAGTCGTTAGAGCTAACAGCAGCTTAAACAATTAGGATCTTTATCCAGAATCACAACTTGTAAGATGGTCGATGGAAGTTGAACCCACACAAAATGTGCGCAGTAACTTCCTGCAGGAAGTACACAAGACTGAATAGGTCATGCCAAACTAACATATAGTCTCCATTGAGCTATCATGCATTGCGTATGTTTCTCAACCTCGTTAAAGACATTTGAACTGAAACGATAATTTTTGTTACCTCAAATGCATTTTCCCGTTCTTGTCAACTGGCATTGCGCCTTGTCCCATGCTAATCAACCGAAGATCCAAAAACTCGAGGAAACGTGGTGCGTGAAAATAACCTCAAACAGAACATGGCCTATCTTTTCCGCAGTCACACTTTTACATCCATTGCCATTTAAAAATTCTAGGTCTCACAAAAAGTGCGATTTTGATAGTGAAACTTTCGGGCTGCCGATTCCTCTTTGGTGATAAAAGTCTGGTCAAAAGTGTTGCGTGACAGTAT